GCAAGCTCGGGCAGAGCGCGAGTCCCTGGAGAGGGCGAAGGGGGGGTGGGGTACACTTGCAGTACACTTCGGTTTAAAGGGACTGCTCAGCGCATGTTAAGAGTTGATCGAAATACATGAAATTACATTCATTAAAAAGCTGAGATTCTAAGCTTTACAATGATAACTATTTTGTGTTATTCCATTCTGGGGTTGCTTAGTAATATGATTATGAATTTTCCCCTTGGGTTTAAAGGGTTAATTTAAAAAAAACCAACAACAACAACCTTACCATGACTGTTGACATAGCCTTCCCAAAACTTGGCCTGTTGGAAAACGAAATAAATAGCATCAAGTAACCATCTTTTTTTTTTGGCTATAACATGCTTCCGTTGAGTTCACTTTCTCTTGTATAGACTCTTTTTCTTACCGTCTGTGTGTCATCTTCAAACACCTCTCTGGCCTCTTCATATGAGCATATTTCCTCCATGCATTCTCTCTGTAGATTGTCAGGCACCAGTAACTCAAAATCCCAACTGTTATACAACAGTTTACGGGAGAGAAACGAACCTGCTGACTTTTCTTCTAGGAACACTGAGGAACACAAGAGAATATGAATCATAATGAGAATCAGCTTCACACTACAAACATACTTTTTACAGACACAAGAAACGGTACAATATGCAGGAATAGTAATGAAATGGCAGCTAACCACAAAGACATATAGCTAAAAATACAAAGCATTAAAATAAAACAAATGTAATGATGTTGCATTCAGAGTATGAAACCTACCAATGTTTGCAGTACAGCTAAAAGTCTAATGTAAATGAGATCTAAGAGGTCTAAGTCCTTGATTTGAATGAGTTCATAGGGAGGTAAACCAACCAAAAAAACACACCATAATACGAAATAATTAGCAACAATAAAAGATAAACCCAAAGAATTTCAAACACTGGCTATTAAAAAGCGTTTTAAAGTTGATCATTTACCATCATTTCTATTGTAGATCACTCTGCCCCAAACAAGATGGAGCAGAGATATCAAGCAGAAACATATCGCTGGAAACCCCAGCATTGTACCTGTTCAAAATAATATAAAAAAAGATTACAATGTTAATGGCTATGTTTTGATAAATCCATATAGGCCTAGAGGAAATATACACAACTCAATTGACAACTCACAAAAATATTGAATAATACGGAAAAGGCTTTTACAATGTCGTCCTCTATCGGTCATTTCACTTACTCAAAAGCAAATATTATTTCTTTTATATTAAGAAAAAGATAAACACCTATACATAATATATCCGTTTAATATCTTAGTTTCAACACTGCAACTTAATGGACCCCACTCTGACAAAATTGTGGCAACAAGAGGGAATGACTCAATATGTTTGTATTTTTAAGTAGAGTAAGTAAATAGTGCCTTTCTGCCCATTCATTTAACAAGTTGTACCACAAAACGCTCGACAGAAAGTAGAAAAGAAAGCAAAACTGCGTCTAAAGAAAAACGACATGGGTCACCGCCCGCTTACCTTGACACTTTTTTGTGCTCCGTAGAAGGAAACTTTAAAAGAAAAATACTTTCAGATTTCTCCAGAGATTTCCTGCCTTGATGCTGTAAACTATGGCTACAGATAAACAGGTCGAATACACGGAATATACATGTTCGATGTTTTTAATTAAAATTCTTCCATATTCGCCTGTGTTCGCATTCACTGCGACATCTTAACTCATCAGGTACGAGACATACCAGTTTGACAACATAGTTCACAGCCGTGAGCATTTGTAGGAGTGGCAGTGGGATGTGACGGAGTTTCGGTGAATTACCTGAACACAGCAATAAACAAAGGTGCTTTAATCGACCCCATTACGAAAACCCATTAGTATCTGTAAGTTTCAGTGCTGCATATAAGTGCTGTATATATCTGTTTAATGTTCAAAAATGTCATTCATCATCTGTCATTTAAAACAAACAACGCTCCACAGTGTATCTTCCACAGCTTCCGGTTTCAACTGCGCCAGTGCGCCTTGATTGGATCAACCTTCCTTTTCAAAGATAGTTATGAATGGGGCCCTTTCCTTATTAGCAAGAGCCGACCTGACAACAGCTTTTAAGTAACGAAAGTCAGTCATATAGACGTGATATTGGTCTTATATTATCGCGTTAAAACGTGAGGAATCTGTCAGTGCGTTCACAATGTTACCACACTCAAATTTTGTGAGAAAACGACGCCATGCTGCTAATATTTCAAATTCAGAATCTCTCCGTGCTGTCGATTCCCTCCCAGCGATTGAAAATGTTCCCTATCTCACATGTGGGAATCATTTAGCAGCAATTGCTTGTAAAGCGCAGGGTAGTTCTCTTATCTGACTGTTATGCGCCAGTAAGAGTTGAGTAGGGATGGGCGTATCGATCCAAAGTATCGATATATCGATACTGAGGCGAGTATCGAAAGTATCGATACTCAAACAAAAAATATCGATACTAAGGTGCGTTTTATTTACCAGTGATTTTGTTAATTTAACAAAAAAAACATTCGTACAATATGCATTGAATTGGACGAATAACCTTTGTTAGCGAGTAATTGTGTAGGATAGAACTATTTTCCTGCTCATCTGAACACGCAAATGTTGCAAGACAGAACCAATCAATCACAGAGAGCGTTCACTCACTGCTGACAGTGCATTCAAACAGGGCTGCTTTTCCCAAAAGTATCATAAGAAAGCATTAAGAGGAAGTGAGAGTGTGGATTACAAATATAGATGAATAAAATGTATATCAAATGCAGCTAAATTGTCAATAGGAAATGATACAAAACATTCATTTATTTATACTTCATAATGAATAAAGTTTAAAATAAAATGTTTATTACTTTAACAATTACTTCCTCATTCCTCAGCTTAAAGTATCTGAAGCCAAAGAACGTTAACGTGTGAAAACTGTTATAAATGCTTTTAAAATGAATCACTCAACAATAAATCAGTCACCCATAAAGTCTTACAAGAAATGGTTAAGACACATTTTAATTGCGTATAAAAGAATATTGTTAGATTTAGATACAAAATTGGAAGATAAATGGTGTCTGATATTTCTCCAGAGCCAACAAAAACACATCTTAAATAAAAAAAAAAACTGAAATAATCAGACTTAAGACATGAAATTATATTGAAATGATATGAATGAGAATCATCCTGTTACCACATCGTGTGATTCTGTTTAACATTCAAAATTAAATAGTGCTTTGTTCTTATTTGCAGCTGACAAACCTGATCCACAACAGAATTTGTCACAGTTTGAAAACAAAAATATCCATGTCCCTTGATTAAAGGCTGTAAGTGTGTAGCAACTCCCTCTAGAGACAAGTATACCGTATGAACTGCTATAGTGTGACTAAGGAAAAGCACCTAGTCTTGTTTTTCCTCACCCTAAACTAGGCCGTTCTACCTATTTACAGAGTGACTCATTCCCTTACAACACTGATTAATATCATGCTTTGTTGGTAATTTCATTTGGCAATTCCTCTGTATCACTTTTTCATCACTGTCCAAGAAAAATCACAAGCATATCATATACATTATTCTGCATATATGCACAAATAGAAGTACCTTCAAAAAGATATCAAATCGCAACTGAAACAAAAGAAACAGATCAAAATAAACCCACACGATTTGTCCATTTTAGTGTTAAACTACATTAGATAACTATTCACGATGACAAAGCTAGGTGTGCAAACATGTACATTATAGCCTTTGGTTTGTATGAATACTAGTATTACAGATACTGGACCCATTGTTTCGACACTACTAAAAATAATCAATTATTAAAACCACATCACGTCTCAGTCATCCCACATTGCTTTATCAGGAAGAAATTAATGAAAACAAGCTGACTGAATATATTCTTGCCACTGATGGGAACCAAGGTGTAGACTAGAGCAGCCATTTCAGTGCAGTCTCACTGACTCAATGAATCTCCCGAGAGAAGACAGGCTGAACAGAGCTCTGGGCCAATAAAATACTGTCTGACTTATCTTTTTGAGTCAGTAACCCAATATGACATACATATGACATAAGAACCATCAAAAAGCTTTGTCAGCACCGCCTATGTTCACTTATGTGGTTGTTTACTGTTTACCGCTACTGTTCACCACCTCAGTGGTGATTTTATATATATTTTTGAAATCTCTTTCATGGTACACAATCAGTCTGCGATCCCATACTGTGGTGGAAATAAACAAATACTGTGCTTGAATCTAAAATCAAGAGCATGATTTTACAAGGCACTAAATAAAACATGTGGACGAAACAAGAACTGCCTCTTTCCAACAGATTCACGGTTCGCTCTCATTTCATACTGCCTAGTTTCTTCTAGGAAACCAGTTCTTACATACATACTGTAAAAGCCACTAAAACACTGATGCATACAGTGCCACACACACACTCTGTGTAGACATATAAGGCACCAGGCGTGAGAGTGAGGGCTTCAGTCTCCTAGGCAACAGTGCAGAGGGTGCAGTCAGAGCAGGGTGCAGGGACAGCCACCACTCTTCTGCTTCCTCGCGTGATTAGCGGGGAGCGGTGGGCTCTCTGTCTCTTGAAACTTCCTGAAGACAGACGGTAATGCGAGTTTATCACAATGCACTACATTGTCAATCTCATAAGAGCGCTTTTCTATTCCAAATACCTTATTGCTCGCACAACCTCCATGAAGGCTTCATCCACATTGTGGCGGTTCTTAGCTGACGATTCCATGTAGTGGATCCTGTTTTCCCGGGCAAACGACATGGCCTCATCTCTTGAGATCTAGTTGAAAAACACATACAGATGAATTGGCAGCCTATCTAGGGTTTTTCATCAAAAATTCAGTCATTTGTGAAACACGGAAACGTTACAACTCTCTGCTGGTCAAGATCTGATTTGTTGCCAACAAGAACCATAGGAAAGTCATCTCGATCCTTCACCCGCAATATCTGAGTGTGAAATTTCTGAATTTCATCATAACTGAAACGGAGAGAAAGTGTTCATTAGAGTGACAAGATTTTGCTCTACGAACACAAAAATAATATAAAATAATACAGCGATCATAGAATGTCATTATAATTGAAGTCATCTTGGATAGCAGCCTGTAAAATTAATTGACAAATATAAAAAATAAATCTCTTTTATGTGTTATTACTGCTAACAAAAATTACATGAAATATTTTCCTGAACTGATATAAAAATAACTAGATAATTGAAAACAACTAGTAAAAACTGAAGACAAAGAAACTAAAACAAATGGCAAATTACATTTAAACAATTTAGTTCTAGTTTTAAGTTTGATAGCATGTTATATTCTAAGACTTTCTTATTAAACATAAAAATGTCACTAAACATCAATAACAAAAGACTGTGCTAAGAATTTTAACAGCATTTAATGTTTGTAAAATTATACCAGTTAGCACATTATGTCAGTCTTAAAATACAAAAACTAAAACATTTTATTAAAACAAACAGAAAACTAACTAAAACTAAACTGAAAATAAAGAATTTCACTGAAGAAAAAATTATATATTAAAAATCTTCTTAACTCCGGAGGCTGAATAATTGATTGCAGTTTACAACGGTACAATATTTACATAGAAAACCTGGAAAACACAGTCCAAGTCACATCTGTAAGAAACTTCTACATTTATACTCGCCATACAAATAGGCTCAGTTCATCTGTTGAGGTTCACCTGATAACATGAGCACTCATAGCACTCTTATTCTCAACACAAACACATTCTGTGGTTTCTTTTTTTAAAACACACGGCCACATACACACACTCTCTGTTCTCGTCACACAGAAAGGTTAGGAACTATTTATTCCCCTTCCTCTCACACATACAGAGACACAAACACACTCTGGAAAACACCTACCTGCCACTGTCATTAAGAGCAAACACCAGTAAGAAACCCTCTCCGGAGCGCATGTACTGCTCTCTCATCGCTCCAAACTCTTCTTGTCCTGCTGTGTCGAGGACTAATGAACACAAATAACACAAATGAATAAAGGGGAATATAAAAGATGAGCTCATCCACACAAACAAATAACATTTTGTGGTGCCCAAATGCAATTCATAACTGACTGAAACACAAAGTTTGCTTTAAGCACAGCTGGCATGATGTCGTACTGACAGCAAGTCAAAACAAAACCTGGGCAGGAACCCGTAGTCTGCAATGAATCATACTGATGCAACTCAGACCAAATTCTCCCTTCTGAGGGAACCTGTGGAGCTTTTAAACACTCATTCTATGAGTCTATAAAGAACACATTAATTCCAACATACTGTCTAATCGTGTCTCCTTTCCATCCACGGTGCAGATTTTAGTGTATGAGTCTTCAATGGTTGGGTCATAGTCCGACACAAAGTATGACTGCGAAAGAAAACAAAGAAAACATTGTGGTTGTTCACCAGCTCCTCAACAAGGGCTTTAACATGAAGGAACCAGTGTTGCCAACTTAGCAATTTTGTTGCTAAATTTAACAGCTTTTCAGACTACCCTAGCAACCTTTTCTTCCAAAAGCACTTAGCAACAAACTTTTAAACTTTTAAATTGTACTTGGCAACTTTTGATAAGTGACTTTTCACACATTGTCCATCCAAATGACACAAAAAGAGGAAACCACTGATGCCTAGCAGTACACACATCACGTGAATGGAGTTAGCTGCTATTTTCAATTGTTCAATTTAATAATAATAATAATAATTGAACAATTGTTAGTAGCTTGTACCTGCGATTGCTGATCAGTTAGTTAGTACAAGAAAAATGGAAAAGATACTAGTAATTTTCCAGGACATTATCCATTGCAACCCTGTAACCTGAAAACACAATGCGTAATTTCAAATGCAGGTAAAAAACCAATACGGAAAATTCCTTCATACTAACAGTAGATTGTGCCCTATTTTTACAGACCTCACTTTTCTTAGAGTGTAGCATACTAACTAACTACTAATACACTGCTTAAAGCATAATTGTTGAGAATGTGTAGTATTACTAGTTTACTAGCTATTTAAAAAAAAAAAAACTTAAATTGTAACCATTCCAAAATGTGTAAGTGGTCCATAATTCAATGCATTTAACAATACAGTTATTTACTTATTTTTTTTTGGCTGAGATTTCACGTTGTGACACAGTTCTGTGTTGTGATTATGCAATGACGTCATCGCGCAATGCCATCACAGCGTCGTTTAGCAACAAATCGACCTTCTTTTAGCAACTTTCTCTGAAAATGAGTCGGCAACACTGGGAGGAACACGCTGAGGAAAGCCCACTGCACTGTCAGCTTCACACAGCTCGTACAACACACCGCCCACAGTAGCTAATACTTGCACTCACAGCGCATATTTGCCCAATGTTACGCCATAAATGCATCTTTATTTCATACAAAAAGTCCTCAAAAATACACTTACCTGAATGAACTGAATAGTCAGGGCGCTTTTCCCCACACCCCCACCCCCCACGACCACCAACTTGTATCTTTCTTCAGTTGACATGGTCGTACTCCTACAAATATGAAACATTAGGTTATAAAAAACACGAATCCTGTTTTCTTATTCGACTAAAGCTGGTTTAAAAGGAATAACGCTGCTCCATCGAGCGTAAAGATTTAAGACCGTACAAGGCCTGGCATCGTTGATAAAGCTCTCTACAGTAGGCTACAGTGTTACAGATTTGGGGCGAGTATGTATCATACTCCAATCTCCATGGTTCAGTATGTACGAAACAACAGCATTTGCAGATTGATAACGCTAGAGAGCAAATAAAACAAATACCGTGCTGGTCTGGGCAATGATCGCCGCTTACCTTTCTTCCGCAGCCGCCTCGAGTAAATCAGCCTTCTGCTGGCAAGTTAGCGACTCAAAGTCAGACAACTTAACGTTAGTCCACTGCCAACCCGCGACTACTCTGACAACTCCAATAGACTTAAGTTATATCCGCGAGATTTAGCCTACAAATTCTCCCTTTGTACAAGCGATACAACCATCTTGCTTAGGGAGATAAAAAGCGAATTCCAGACTTAAAGGAATGTCCGCCCTCTGGATTTTTCTTGGTGATTTCTGGACTCTCTCTTACTTCCGATAGCTTTTTTTCATGACCAGGGGCAACTTTTTTCGCCTCTGAGCGAATCTCATATGTACGCCTAAAGTGGGCGGGGCTTTAGGCGTTGTTTTTCTCATCGAACGCATGATTTCGTAATCGGTGTGCCACGGCGAGTTCTGATTGGCTAATGCGCAGGATTCGATGAACGATTCTGCGGTTACTACGCTTGCATTTCCGCAATAGAAGGCAGGCTGTACGATAAATGTGTAATTCGAGCGTGGTCTTTCCCATATTTGGCCAAGGGCCTTGTTTGTCTGTGTTACAGTAGATGTTTACATTGAGCGTTAGTTCAGCATTCATTGGTCATTTTTTATTCAGCTTGTGATTTTATTGAGCTTATAAATAAGATTAAAAAAATAAAGGGCAAAACTAAAATAATAACATAATATGCAATAAAATATTTTGTGGTCAAAAAATGCGACATATGAAATGAGATATTTGTCCAGATGTAATGTTTTGTATCTTTTTTATTTTATAATTCTTCCTAGTACTTTAACATCTGCATAAGTTCTTCCTGTATATTCTTTTGTGATACTATGGTGATACTTGCAATAATAACAAAATACTATTAATAATAATAATAATAATAGCAATAATAACACTAATAAAAACTTAATGTTTAGAACAGATCATTATTATTGCTAATGGTTTTCTTAAAGAAATAGTTCACCCAAAAATAAAAATGGCTGAAAATGTACTTACCCTCAGGCCATCTGAGATGTAGATGAGTTGGTTTCTTCATCACAACAGATTTGAAGAAACTTAACACTACATGACTTGCTCACCAGTGGATCCTTTGCAGTGAATGGGTGCCGTCAGAATGAGAGTCCAAACAGCTGATAAAAACCTCACAATAATCCACAAGAAATCCACAAGACTCCAGTCCATCACTGAATGTCTTATGAGGTGAAAAGCTGTGTTTGCAATACATTTTTTTTACAGCTGCTCTGGCTAAAAATAAGAGACTGCTAACCATGATATCATCTAAATGAGGAGAAAAATATGCACAGATGAAGCACTTATTACAAAAACGCAGGTTTTCACTTCAAAAGATGTTAAATGATTCACTGGAGTCTTGTGGATTGCTTGCGGACCCATTCACTGCAGAGGATCCATTGGTAAGCAAGGGAAGGGATGTAATGCTAACTTTCTCCAAATCTATTCCACTGAAGAAACAAACTCATCTACAGGATGGCTGGAGAGTACATTTTCAACAAATGTAAATTTTTGTGTGAGCTATGCCATTAAGAGGGAACAGAACCATTGTCCTATTGATCAACTGGCATTCAAATTCACAGCACAGTTTTGTATTTTAATAACATTTTATTATACAATTCACCAAATAGTAGACCCTGAAATGAAAATGAAAATAAAATGAATAAGACAATGAGACAGAATAAAATAATTGTCTTTAATGAACACTGTTTTCAATACAAGCTATAGTGTTAAAATTGCACCTGCAAAATACCCCTTTATAAATAAAAATTATCAGTATATTTCAATAAATAAAGTCACAGGCAAGCTGTGCATTATAATAGAACAAATCGCACTTGTTCTTGCAGATGTTCAGTCATTTATTCACATATCACCAGTCCATCAGATGACGCGAGTCTGTCAAATAGTCTTGGAGGAACATGCAATTTCATTAAATAAATAAGTGAATTCACACACTCATACATATGCTTTTTCAGCCATAGTATCGTCATCTTCATTTTAGTTCCTTCAGATCAACAGTGTACAGTCCTTGTTTACACCTGTATCTTTAAATAGCGCAGTTCATACAACCAGTCTCTCTTCAACATCTGTACGGCAAAGCAGCCTGTCCCAGTTTAACACGTGGGCCAAGTAGGACCCCAAGCAGCATGCGTTCGCCCCAGTCCAGTATTTTGTTGACTGTTAGACTTACCGGAGACAAGGGGCTCTGGTCTCCAACCATACCCTCCACTGCTTCAACACCACCAGTAACCTCATTCACGAAAAGCTCCTGTGGGTAGGTTACGATACCACATGGTCCCTGGGTCTGCCTCTGTGATCTTGTGCTTGAATGGCTCACTTGGTTTGTTTTTTGTTGCTTCATATTTGCTCTGGGGTTACTGCGGTTTAGTTTATTCTTTCTTCTTTGTGATTTTGAGCAGCTGAGCTTAGCTGAAGCCTCCTGGCTGATAAACCCGTTTGCCTCTTTTGGTTCTGTTCTGGATTCTGATGCTGATGGCTCCATATCGACTTTGTACAGGTCATCTAACGCCCCCGTCTGGTCAACGGCGGAACTGCTCTGCCTCAGATCACAGCTGTTCACTGATGACCCCTTCTGGTGAGTCTGAGGAACTGCACTCACTGGTGTTAGGGAAAGAGTAAGGCTTTTGCGTTTCTCCGCTAGAGACGGAATCTGAAGGCAAGTAGGCTTAGGTAGGTTGGACTTTGGTGCATCCTGCTGTGTTTGAGATGTGATGTTGACTGGTCTTTGTACCTCTACGGGATTGGTGCGGAGAGTGAGCGCTCCGAGCTTGTCTGAAAGAGATAAGGTAAACTCTGGCTTCATCACCTCACAGCGTTGGCCTCGGCTCTGAATATTTTCCATTTGGTTGTACTTGTTCTCACAGTGCACATTTGCTTTGGAATCCTCAGTACATCCATTAATAATACAGTTGTTGTCAATGTTGTTCTGAAGGTTCAGGTTAGTTAACAGTGCCACAGTGGAACTGCTGTTGTTTTTTTCATTGGTGGGCTGTAGGCAGTTATCCAAAGGTTTGACTGACTGCTGAGAGTGAAGGTTTGTGTTATTATTCTTCAAAGAAAGCGTTCCCTGGAAGAGCTGCAGCTGCCCCAAGAAGTTAAAGTTTGGCGAAATTGTGGGTCTGCGTTCTTTAATGATGGCATGTGTTTTTATCAGGCTGCATCAATAAATGCATTTTTTTAAAATCTCGCTTCAAAGGCTGCAAAACACAAACTCAATTGCAACAGACTTAAAATTAGATTTATGTTAATTTAATAAGCTGAATTATTGCTATACCACCCTGGGTTACAAATGGTGTTTTGTATTTTCTATTTAACAAATTAAGGAATAAAACTGCCTTTTAATCTGATGGAATGAAATTGAGAAAGAAATTGCAAAGATATTATCTTGAATATCCTGCATTTGTGACCCTGGAGCACAAAACCAGTCTTAAGTCGCTGGGGTATGTTTGTAGCAATAGCCAAAAATACATTGTATGGGTCAAAATGATCGATTTTTCTTTTATGCCAAAAATCATTAGGATATTAAGTAACGATCGTGTTCCATGAAGATATTTAGTAAATTTCTTACCGTAAATATATCAAAACGTAATTTTTGATTAGTAACATGCATTGCTAAGAACTTCATTTGGACAACTTTAAAGGTGATTTTCTCAATATTTTGATTTTTTTGCACCCTCGGATTTTCAAGTAGTTGTATCTCGACCAAATATTGTCCTATGCTTATGACTGTTTTTGTGGTCCAGGGTCACATATTGACTTCCTGGATAGATTAGGCCCACCTAATCATGAACTTGATAGTAATTTTTATTTTTCACAGTATAAATAATCATATTTAGGGTGTCCAGAAATATGAGTTATACTGTGAAACAAATAACAGACGTAGAACATGTATATTTATTTTCTATTAAAATTGACACTGCATTTTTTTCAACCCACCATTACAGTACTGTTAGCTGTATAAATCCTATAAAAAAAAACTATGGCTGACTAATTTCTAATCAGAATGAAATAGTTTTTTTCTATTTTTCTTATTACCGTTATGTTACATTTTTAAACCCATGTTATGGCCCACTTTACATCTTAAGAGATGGCGTTATAGGCCTATACCTTGTTGTGCTGAGAGCCAATGACCTATTTTGTGCTTGGGGCATATGTGAGATCTAGCTGTCAGCTCACCTGATCTCTGTGCCCATCCCTACCACACACAAACACAAAAAAAGAAAACACCTGGTTCGAGTATATGGCATAATTTTACTTTCACATTATTCAGTACAGAGTAAATTTAATCTAACACAGGTATCTGACAGGTTGAACAGCGATACACCGGGGCTGCATTAGCTAGCGGATACTGCATGGACACGCACACACAGAAACACACACACGCGCCATGACTGTGACTCTAATCAACTACAATGACCATGTCCCCAGTACTGCATCACTGCATCGAGGGAAGCGTGACCCCCAGCTGAACTAATATGACAATGTCGCATAAATTCCATTATATTTTTCACATGGATCACACAGAATAACACCACACTCGCTCACCAAACAACGCTGACCAAAATCGTTATGATCCCTGTACGTGATTGACAGTTGGCAGCTGCTTTGGTCCAGTGCTCCCCCTTAAGCCCCCGTCCTCTAAGCCTAAGAATGTGTGTACAACTGCGTGCCTGTGACTTTTCACAAACTAAGTGCTTTCCAGGTTTTATCGCTGCAAAAAAAAATATGGGTCTCCAGCTGTGGCCACTCAAAGTTAATAATATGCGTGTTGTGTAAGGATTTAGTAATGAGGTAACCACTATCTACTATTAATTTCTGCCAATAACTGTGCTGGAAGATGTTGTCCTCCAGATGTTTTTTTTTAAAAACAATATTCCAAAAAAAGAAAAAAGAAAAAAAAAAGAGACATTTACACGAAGGCCCACAACACTCTTCATGTTGCACTCTTCATGTGCAGAAACTCGCACACTGGCGGACCTGACCCTCCCTCTCAGGTTTTATCGCTGCAAAAAAAAATATGGGTCTCCAGCTGTGGCCACTCAAAGTTAATAATATGCGTGTTGTGTAAGGATTTAGTAATGAGGTAACCACTATCTACTATTCATTTCAGCCAATAACTGTGCTGGAAGATGTTGTCCTCCAGATGTTTTTTTTAAAAACAATATTCCAAAAAAAGAAAGAAAAAAAAAAGAGACATTTACACGAAGGCCCACAACACTCTTCATGTTGCACTCTTCATGTGCAGAAACTCGCACACTGGCGGACCTGACCCTCCCTCTGCTTCATTTCCTCTTTCTGATTCTAGTTCCTGCCCAGTTCTTTTAACACTGTACGACTAACCTGAAACGTTATGCCCATTCACTCATAGTACAGAATGGAATGTCCAAAACAAGAGCAAAAACATTAGACCATTTAAGAAAGCATACAAACAGACAACATCCCACTATCAAAAACAAGAAAGAGCCATACAAATGCATCCATGAAGGGTAATCATTTACATGGTTTATGTATATTTATATATATATATATATATAGATTTTTTTTTCAATAAACATTGTAAGATAATGGGGGTCAGGACGAGTACTGAATACATAGGACAAGAACAGGAAAAAGGGGGTGGTACTATAAAAGCCTTTCCTCTCAAAGCCTCTTAAAGTGCACTGGCCATTTCTACATCGGAAGGAACGTACGTACGGTGCGATAAACTGGAAATGCATGTGGATTCTCTTTTTTTAAAACTTTTTCTATGTACACCAATGGCTCTGGATTTGACCGATTTCAGTGGAGGAGGAAAACGAGAGAGAAAGCAATGGGGGTTAGTGATTCTGGCCTCTTTTAGGGAAGTGCCGTTGCATTAGTGTATTGAGATTGTGTTTTCTTGTCCTGCTAATAGTCTTATAGGGAATGTTCCAAAGAAACAGCTAATGTGCAGTTTTTGCGGTTGAAACTTTGCGGATAATACAGGAGAGAGGGAAGACTTGCTCCCCTTCCATCTTTTTGCTTTACTTTTCTCCCTCCCCCCTCAACCCACAACACACACACACACACACACACACACACACACACAAGCACAGGAGTTGATCGTTGAACAGGCAGGACGGAGAACGGAACTATCACCATGACTCTTTCACACATGTACGAAAAAAACACATGCACGCTTCCTTTTGCTCCATTGCTCACACACAGGTAAACACCGATAAAAATAAGAAAGGGCAGCGCTGATGATAACAACAGTAATAATAATAATCATTATCAGAAGGACATTAATATGGCTGCCAGAGGCTGACAGCTACTTTTTCCCTTATGCATGAATGCGTTTTGTAGATTCTTTATTCTGGGGTCTCTCAGGAACGCTGGTCTTGTCTGGGTGTCGGTTCTAGATGGTGCTAGTCTCGGCTCACTTTCTAGAACTGTTCTGCCAGCAGCTCACAAAGACGCTTGGAGACAGTGTCCTTACTGCTGCGCACGGTTAACCGGTACATCTGAGAGAAAGAGAGAGAGAATAAAGAGTGTTACACAATGTAAACGGAAACACAAACAACTGAGAAAGACACATCAATTGTGCAGACAGACGCTCATTCTGCTGTCCGAATGCGTGTCTGATCCTTACTGCCGATACAGAGAGACTAAATGTAAACTTGCAAAATGGACAAAGGAAACTCCATAGATACAAAGAGAAGGATGCTGCTGTCACGCCAAATCAACTGGGTTTTACTACCAGACATGGAGTGAATCACAAAAGCGGGAGGGAGGGAGGGAGGGAGGGAGGGAGGACGGGAGGTGGTTTGAGTTGGAAGGGGTGGCAGGATGAATGCTTTACCTGCTCCCCAGACTTGAGTTGCATCAGCAGGCACAGAGACACACAGACAACAGTAAGATGCAATAAAACTGACTTGGTGAGAAGTCTGTGCTCCATAGCAGCAGGGAGGGACTTTTGATGCTCATGGCATTTCTTTGTTGTTTTCCTTTGCTTTTGATTGTGTAATATGGATACATGTTTGCTTAAAACAAATGTCTGTTCATACCTGAGCTTGTGCGTTGGGCTCGAGTCTTAGCAGAGAACCCACTTGCTGGGCCTTGCTTTGGATCACTCCGGCACACACAAAGTTCTCTGGGTTCGGATCCACATTCTCCAAGAGAGCCATGCCCAATCCCAGTAACTATGAGACAGATGGGTGAATGGAAAAGATGAAAAAGTAAAAAAAAAAAAAAAATCACATTTAGTGGGCTCATCTGTACATAAATTCTACAGGAATGACACCCCCCCCCCTCTCTAAATTGAATGGCTATAATTAAAGTTATTCTTCTAATTAAAACGTTCTGGCATACTAATCTTATGCAAAATACAGGCATCAGAGATTACCAATATATTTAAACAATGAAATATCATGTTAATATTGCACCTTAAGACTGGTTGCCACCTGTTGTAAAACAGATGGAAAAGACAATGATGCAGCACGTAGCTACTACGGTCACAAAATCATATCAGAGATGACAGAAAAAAGACAGTTTACTCATACCCGTTTGTTCGCTAGTGTAGGAGTTTTTTGGATTCTGTAAAATTATACATGCCGGTCTGCAGGAAGAGTTCTTTTAGTAAGGATTTGTTATAGTATAGGATTTGTAGTTATTTCTTCCTCTGCACCCCTGCACTCATATTTTGAGCGTGATTCATTGGCCAAAAAGAGAAAAATCACCTGATAACCAGATAATTTACAACATATTTCAAAATGTGTAGCATATGTCATATGTCAACAAAAGGTGGTGTACAGATGTTACAGCGTTAAAGATGATGTGCTGTTCCGATCTAGAAGCGCTTTTCATTAAAGGGGTCATATGATGTGATTTCAAGTTTTCCTTTCTCTTTGGAGTGTTACAAGCTGATTGTGCATAGATAAGATCCCTGAAGTTGCAAAGACTAAAGTCTCAAAACCAAAGAGATATTCTTTATCAAAGTTAAGACTCTGCCACGCCCCCCTAAAACGGCTTGTTCTAACACACCCCCACATATCTACCTCACTATGTGGCAATATTTGCATAATGCCGCCCAAATGTGCATGCAAAGAAAGAAGGTTTCAGTAACCGCAGTTAGTGTTGAAGCAGTCATGTCAGGGAGACGCTGTGTTTTTCTAGGCGAAAGCAAAAGCACTTAATTTGGTCTTTCGAAAGTAGATGCATTAAGATTACTTACAACAGAACAGCAATGCATTTTATGGACGACCGGTTCGTGAACCTAGGAGAGGAGGTAATTCTGACTTTGCTATGACAATCTGGTGCTTCTGAATCAGCTACTGTTTTGTTATTAGTTTAAGTATTTATAATATAAGTTTTTTGAACATTAAAGCATGTCAACATATTCTGTTACACCAAATACACAAAATAATGATCTTTAAAAAAGCATCATATGACCCCTTTAACTGTAAGCCGTTCTATTCATCGTGGGAGTTTCACTCGTTCATTCTCGTGAGTCTTTACATTCCTCCGCAAGCGCACGTGAGCTCAGCTTTACAGAAACTAAATGAGTTTTAGTGTAGATTTGAAACTCCCATTCTAACACCCCACACCCGCTCTGAACATCTCTCCACACAACCATTAACACCTTGTAGCGCCTGCGTAGGATCAACTCCACCATCATCCCGGTCCCAAAGAAACCCAAGATAACAGGACTTATGGTGCTTTTCCACTGCGTGGTACGGCACGGCACAGTTCGGCTCGGCACGGTTTGTGTTTCCACTGCAGTTCAGTACCGCTTTAGAGTGGGCGGGATTATTCACATGTCGTAATAGTTGCGCCGCCTCTACTACCACGACTCCTAAAAAAACGTTTTCATTCTGTGTCGCCCCATCAAGCTCTCGCTGGATCCGCTCCTCTGCTATCAACGAGAGGAACGTCTTCTTCCGCAACAGACAACAAAACTTTTTGGTTGTTTAAAAAAAAGGTGCGCTCGATCCAAACAGTTGCGTTCCATCCTTCGCTGGCTGTGCTGATTTAAGTCTAACGGTTCTTTTGTGTTTGTGTCGCAAGTTCAGTGACGCAGGTAGTGACGATTCTCTCCGGCCAATCCGTGATCAGCAGAGTTAACACGTCACGTTTTGGTAATGGTACGGTTCACTTGGAACCCCAATCGAGGTGGTACTAAAAAAAAGTACCAGGTACTGTACCCAGTGGAAAACCCCCCAAAAGTGAACCGTAC